TCCTAAAGGGAACAGCTTGGTGGTGGTCTTGTTTGAACCTCCCAACTGACCTTCCTTCGTTCTCTCCTTCAGCGTAGATGACATGGCCTTAACCACATGTATATAAACACAGGTGGGAACTGAGAAGCAACCTTCTTCTCACACTTCCCACTTTAGCCTAAGTGGCCAGGGACACCTGTTTGCACCGGGCCCATTGTTATGCATGCCTGCATCACACCCTACCAGGCCCTCAGCCCTGGGAGACATACCTGGATGCTCTTGACCCTGGGTCGGTCCCTGACAGCAGAAGAAGGTTTCAACCCCATTTCCCCCACCTCCCCTGCCATGGTGATGCAAGAACAGTATGATGACCTGCTGGCCCGGTTCCAGGAACTACAGGCCAGCCCACGCACACACCTGCACACATGCCCAGACCACCCAAGGTCGCCCCCCCCCCCCCCCCACCCCCTTCTTGGGAGTCAGTGAGGACCTCGACCACTTCAAGGCTGAATGTGGGATCTACCTCTATGTCCACCCAGCTGAGTTCCCCAGCACTGTCATATCCGTACAATCCTGACCTCCGCTCCAGGCTCCCGGAACTCCGAACCTGACTTCCAGAGTCCTACTTCCCTCCTCCTTGCTGACTTCCAAGAGGTTATCCCACCTCCGGCTCCAACACCACCTTCGGTCCGACTCCGGAACATTCCGGGTTCGACTTCAACCTTGACACCTTCCAGACGAGCATGCAACACCTATGTTCCCAACTCCGGACCTCCACTCTGGAACCCCATTGGTGTCTCCATCTCCGGAACCTCTGGTCTTAGCTCCGACCTCGGACTTTGACCCCACCTCCGCTTATACCCATTGTATTGGTTAGCTCATTCTATTTAAATTACGTTTGCCAATATTCCGGAGTTTAACTTCCGAGTTCGGACTTTCCGGACTTACCTTGGACCTTGCAACTATTGCATTGTCCTATTCAATTCCACTATTCTCCCTCATTCCTATTTGGGCTGCTGCTTCCTTTCTATTCAGTCAGCTGGCCATTCCCCACTCCCATCCTCCTTCCTTCCTCCTTGGGCCTTGGCCCTTCATTCCTCCTTTGGGAAACACCATTGAGTCAAACACTTGACCCTCAGTGTTGTTCCTCTTTCCATCTCCCTTTGTCTCCTTTTGTCCTACCCTTGTTCCTTTTGATTCCGGACCCCTCCTTATATACAATGTACCTAGTAACTTGTAACCTCAGTCCGAAATCGACCTGAAATGCCCCCAAGAGACTTTCCCTCTGCTAGATCTGAAATTAGGGACCCCCAGGACAACCAGCAATGGCACAGCACTCCGCCTGAGTCACTGAGGCCGAGGTCCTTCCACGCTAAGTCTCCGATTCCACTCCGGAGTCGTCCGAATCCACCCGTTCTAATAAAGTCCTTCCATGCTCTGAGCATGACTTAGCCTTCATGTGATGAACAAAAGTCTGATAAACAAAATTTGGACTTGTTTTTGAGGGCATGAAGACTAGAGTGTCCTTTGCAGTGCACTCAAGATGTTTCCCCATGCTGTCTAGAGGGGGGAGAAATGAATGCAAGTGCACGCAAACACACAAGGTTTTTTAGAGGGAATTCCACAGTACCATTGGGTTTGCCACCTTGCACTCAAAAGTTGCCGTTTCTGGCAGAGAATGAGTGCTTTTAGATCACTTTCAATGAAATCAAATGGCTGATTTTTTTGGAATCAGCTGTTGGATGGCAGCACATATAGTGCCAAAAGGCACTAGCATGTGACCCCTTCTGGGAATTGCCGGAAGGTTTGGTCTGACTGAGTCATGTGACTTGTTCCCATAAGTCACACTTTCTTCTTTCTTCAGACTTACATATCTGCAAAGGCCACAAACTATATTTATTAGTTTCCCCTTTCCCTCAGTTCTTGCACATATAGTGAGACTGAGGTTAGTTATTTTCCTTTATTTCCTTATATCTTCTTACTCATTTTACCTTACAGTTAGTTGCTTTAGGTAATATCATCAGTTCTCCCACATATTGTGAGACTGGTTTAGTTATCTGGTGGTTATTCTGTTAATATCCAGAATTCACACACTAGAGTGTCATTGTTATATTTCTGGAGAAGACTAGCAATGTCATCTGAGCCACTTAGTGCCAACTATTCGGCCAGTCATTGGGTGATGGGAGCATATAGCGGACAGCCCTCACTTAGGCTAGCATCCCTGTTCTGGCTTCTTAGACTGAAGCAGGAATGAGAAGAAGGTTCTTCTTCAGTTCTGCTCCGGCTCAGCTTATATAGTGGGAACAGGTCATGTGAAGGTGCCACATCAGCTTTGGATAGGGCCATGCTATCATGGGTGGCTCCATGGGTGATCCCAAGTGCTGAGGGAAAGAGGTACAAGTAGAGATGTGCAGCGCATCTGGCGGCACCGCACCATGTGGGGTACTTGGCATCGGATGTGTCCATGCTACAAGTGTAAGAAAGGAAGTCGTCTGTATAAGGAGAGAGAAGAAGAAGGAAGAGAAAAGAGTAAGGAAGAGAAGAAGGAAAGGAGGAAGGAGGGAAAACGGGAGGGAGCAGTGCAGAGTGGAGCAGCATGCCCTGACAGTCATGCAACCTGCTCTTCCTGCCCTGCTGTCATGAACGTCTTTCCTTAGAGGATAGGTCGATTGCTATCCAGGCGACGCTGTCGGGTGGAGCTCGGTGTTCCAGGTCATCCGATGGTGGGTCGGAGACAGACTGGAGGTGGGGCAGAGCTCCGAGGGTGACAGGGTGTTGAAGGGACTCAGCTTCAGCGACTCGGAATGGAGCACTGTGCCCGGTACGTTCTCATTGTCCCCATTTGTCAGGGGAGCTGGCGATGGAGGAACCGAGGCTGCAGCAGAAGGGGGCCAGAGGCCCCCCCTCACTACTTAATGGAGGAGGCGCCAGCAAGGGTCAATCATTCGTCATGCGATTCATTGGGTGTTATACCAAGGTGTCTCTGGGAGCGCCTGTTACTCAGTTCTTAGGAGCAGCAGACAAGTGGGATGCAATAGACATCCTGGAAGAGGTTTTGGAGGGCTGAAGACTGTTTATATTATAACTGGGGGAACTATTTACTAGAGGGGTACGCGTGTACATATAGTAGAAATAATTGGATCCAAAGGTAAACAAAGGTTACCAAGGGGAAGGGGAAGTAAATAGAAAAGGAATCCACAAGACAAATAGGGAATAGGTGAAAAGCCCGAATTATGTCTGAGGTTTGTGGAGTGAGAGAATTAAAAGCCAACTGAATGGCAAGGTCTGGAGGCATCTATGAACAAGCAGGGAACACAGAGAAAGATGTCCAGAAAGGTCCGGAGCCCGGAAGTTGTAGTCCGGAAGATTGGGGTTGTAGAAAATATCAAATGATAAAACAATAGGATTATCAAGACTGGAGATAATATTGGAATGCGGAGGTACCGGAGGTGAGGAGGTACCGGAGGTACTGGAGGTGCAGAGACTGGAGGTTGGAAGGAGGGTGGATCGGCAAGTTGAGATTCACCAACAACAAGCAAGCCCAACTCCTTTGAACAAGGTGTCCGAGGAGGTGGAGGTATGGTGGTGGAGGTCTGGAGGTGATGCAGATGTAGGTGGGTGGCAGAGCGGGAGAGAGTCAGAGGAGGAGGTAGTCCTAGGGTCGTTGGCATCGACTGGAGGCAGCGGAGAGAGATTGGGAGGGCTGGTGGAGGTCATAGGAGTCATGTATGGATAGAGCGGAGGGAGGTGGAAGATCCAGGATATGACACCTGCAGTGGGAGAGTGTGTGGATTGCCCAACTTGCAATGTGAAACAGTGCATTGGAGCCATCCAGATAAATGTCGATGGCAAGCCCCACTGCACCAGATGCATGGCCAAGCACAGTCTAGACCAGCTAGCAATGCCATATTATTGCCAACGCTGCCAGAAAATGAGAGGCCAGCAGCCCCTGGTGGGTTATGTATGTTTTGCTTTAGATCACATGTGCTAATGAACTTGACGAGGTCAAGTATTTTGGACCGTGCCCCTTATCATACCACAGAGCACAGCGCTCATGGTTTTTGTCATGTCCATCCATGGCCATCGTCTTCCACTACCTCCGATCCTCCCAGACTACCTCCACTCCTTCTTCACTAACCTCGGACCCCCATATTCTGCATTCACCTCCGACTCCCTCGATGGTCACCACCCCCTCTTTTCAATATATTACCTATGCCTCCCTAAGTATGGAGCCCCGAAGGCCTCTGGACAGCTCCAACATCTGCTGGCACACTCCCGCCCCCGCTGGGCAATTCACTTGCTTGCCCTGCAAGTCTACCTTCAGGCCTATCCCTCCTTTCCATTTCTGGGTTATAGCCTGCCACTCCGCTAACCCCATAACCCGACTTGTTGGTAATATTCAGTCAGCTAATGTTTAACTCCATTAGCTCCGCTCCGCTTGGCCCTGCCATTCATGGGCCTGCCCTCGCTGTAACTATATATACTTAACTTGTACATAGGTTACACCCTAGTGATAAAATCGACTAGAGTTGATCCCCCTTTTTAGTTCTTGTTGCCAGTAAGTAAATTAGGGCACGGACGTGTAACTTGGCACAGCGCTCCTGGTTTGAGTCGCTGAGGCCGAAGCCCTCCGCCATGGAGACAACTCCTTCGTCTCGTTCTGGTCTTTAACAGTTTCCCTTTACTCTTGCCAACTGGGAAACTGTCAGGATCCAGACCCCAGCTGGGAGTGGCCAGAGGACAAGGCCAGGTGTGGAAGCTGGGGTGCTCTCCCCAGCTGCTAACTCCTCAAAGTCGCTGAGGGGACTAGCCTCAGCCTTCACAGGGAATGAGCTGCTATTCATTGAAAAGTGGGTAAGTACACTTGCCTTCACAAGGAATGAGCTGAGAAGAAGGGTGAGCTTCTCAGCCCCCTGTGAGGCCAACACAAAAGGAGCCTAGGAACTATAGTTCCCACTTGCTGCCACTTCCCACAACGGGTGTGACCTGTGGGAAAGTTCTGGGCAAGCTGCTTGCCCAGAATGTTCCCACAGGTCACGTGTCCTGGGCGAGTTACTCTCCCAGAAAGTTCCTGCAGCTGTGGCTGTGCATTTCTGGGCGAGTCGCCCAGAACATTCCCATGGGTCTGTGTGCATGCATCATTGTGTGAAACAGTAGGGGGAAGAATGGGGGGAATGGGGAAATGTTGGGAGAGGGGAAGGGTGTCTGAGGGTGAGTGGGGTTGAGGGCTGTGCCCTGACAGAAACTGGGATCCACTCCTCAATTATATACTCTCTGCCCTCATGCACCTTTTCCACAGTTGTCCCAACAGTCTCTTGGTGCATACCCAGTCTAATACGTTGCATCCATGCTTGACTCAAGATCCCAGATCAAAAACTTGAACGAATCAGATGGTCCTGAGACTCTGAAGCAGATTAAAGAGATCATTGGCAACCACCAGACAAGAGATGGTGGTGATGCCATCTTGTGTGTCGCCATATTTCACAGATACAAGATCTTGGCAGCCCTCCAGGCAGTCTATAAGCTGAACTCTCTCCTGGTGAGCAGGTGATTAATTCTTTGTACTGTTCCATGATGAAGAGATTATGTAGCTATCACCTGATGCCCTCAAAACATCTGTCATGGGTGTCTTTCTAGAATCAGCGGAATCACTATGCTGGTGTCACATACAGCCAGACACACAGCCAGTAAAAATGTATGTCCTTCAAAAGCATGGATATTTTGCACCCAATTTGATTCCCAACAGCTCTCATTTCAATTCCATCCTTCACATCGCCTCTCAGAGCATCCCCCCCTATCTTCTTGCCACATCAATCGTGTCACCCGCTATGGAGTCCTTTGAGAGTGGAGATCCTGTTGCAGCAAGACTGATAGCATTCAGGGGCCAAGAAGCGATCAAGGGGAGGCATTCCATCGTCCTGACAATTCTGAAGGAGACCAAATTGCATGTCACCTCCCTTATTTGGCTCCCGTGGGAAAGTCCAGACATGGAGTGTGATACTGTGATGTCAAGGCTCCTCCCAGGCTACCTGACTGGTTTTCTTGATCCATGCTGTGGGGATAGCCAGTGGATGTGAGAGAGATGGGGGAGGGTGACCAGCAAACCAACCGGTTTTAGGCACCACATGTACTGTGACATCATATGTGAAGCCTGCAGGCAGAAAGTAAGGCTTACTCTTTGCCCTGACGAGACATCACCTATCCCTCCCATCTTCTTGTACCCTAACACTATGCCTCCCAAGCCACAGAACTGGGTCCAGGACCATTTTGAGATGTCCCTTCTACCCAGTCGATTGGATAAGAACAGGCTCCCAAGGCAGAGAGGGATGTAATTTGATATGGGATATTTATTCATCATCATCATGTGTACTTTTGTTGTATTGATGTTTAATACAGGCCTACCTTCATACTTGCAGAGAGCCTGTTGTTGATTCAGAAGGGAAAAGGGAAGGATGTTGGAGTTTTTGTACACCATGGACTGCCCATTGAGTCCTATGGACTAATACTTCTTGCAAATGGACATATATTTCTGCCCGATGCTTCCACTTTTGGTACATGTCAGAGACAGGCAGATACTGTCAGAAGATGGACTGAAGATGGATTGGGTTTCTGTCTGAGTTGGGATTGGAGGTTGTGGCAGAGGTCTGTTGGAGTGCACACGTGCGGATGTGCAGGTGGAAATATGCAGCATGTCTGGAACTGCTGTTCAAGGTCAGCAGAGTGGAATTGTGGCCTCAGCGACTCAAGTGAAGCGGTGTGCCCTGAGCTTGATGTTTGGGGGAGATCCCATGTTTACAGATTGACACTTACAGTGGTCTTCAAACAAGACTTGCAGGCAGAGCGGACCTGTAGGTGGAGTGCAGACTCAGAGGGGGGGAAGCCCCCTTTGCAGAAGGAGGGACTCAGACCAGGACAGGGGGGGTACTCTAGTTGATTTCAGACTGAGGTCCCTGAAAGTATTTACAGGATATAAATAGGCAGGAGGAAAACAAAGAAGGGCCAGTCGGTCTGGCGCAGTCCAGCGCAGAAATGAGCAGGGATTGTCAAACTGAATAAAGACAAGAGCCCAGGAAATGGGAGGCAATGAACTAAAGCAAAAGCAGATCAAGTACCAATATTGGTAATAAGAAGTGCATCAGCACATGGATCAAGAACCAATATTGGCAAGTTAAGCAAATGAATAGATGAACAATATAGGCACTCAGCAAGGAATGAATGGTATGCTGCCAAGTGACAAAAATGGCCAGAGGGGAAAGGCAGAGGTCAGCGTGCGGTGCTGATACAAGTCTGCAAATAAGCGGGGTCAGTGCGGCACCGACACAAGTCTGTGAAATGGGATATGGGAATCAGCATGGTGCTGATAAGTCTGCAACAGAGGGTGGTCAGAGGTCCAGATGTGGAAGATGCGCAGAATATGGAAGATGCAAAATATGCTGAGGATGCAGAGGCAGTGATGTGAGACTGAGTTATGCTATAAGCCTAGGAGGAACCAGAGGGACTGGATGCCAGGAGCACCAAAGGCTCGGGAACTGGAAGTGAAGTTGGAATGCTGGCAGGGTGTAAGCACATGGTTATAAGCGCCTTACACTCACAGTCTGTCACACAAGTACGCTTTGGTGAGCTGTATTGTTAACGGGGGAGTAAAGGCTGAGGGGCCTTTCCCCCTACCTGCACACCTTATATACATGTACCTACATGATGTAATGTGGCTTTATATTATACATGTTATCTATGTTACTGAAGCGCAACTGCAGTTGTGCTTGATGTGAAGTATGCAAACGACAGACAATGTGTGGGTACACATTGTAAGTCCTTACACAGGGTCCAGGGTCTGATTGTTGGCAAGTCTCACTTGATCGGGCAGGGGGCCAGACATTGGACAGGTTCCAGGTCGGCAGATTCGCCTATCAGCATTGATTCACTGCTGACGGAGCCCTGGGGTTTGTTGGTCATGACAGTACAGATGTTGATGAACACAGTCAAGAATGGCTTAAAAAGCCACCTCACACAATTTTTTTCTTTCTCAGTTCACAAACTTGGACCTGAGCACTTATACGCTACTAGTTACTCTAATACAGGACACCCCAGAACATCTTTACTGGTTACCTGAAGAAGATTCTGAAAACTTCACTGAGGTTTACCATGGCTGGCTAGCACAGTGCATGTTTCTCCATTGGCATGGGTTCGTCTGTTCTCATCCAGTTACATGTAGTACATCACAAATCTGAGCCAGGGTACGAAACCATTGACCAACAGATTATGCTGAATGAATTTGGTCATCAGTTTAATCAAAGCATCTTGCATTGCATGGGAAATGCAGATGACAACATCACCCAGATGACAGGCATTGTAGGGATGTTGCACCTGACACAATCCATGTCTCCTCACTCACCACTTTGAATGTTCATATTCATGTCCTTGAACTCGTCGGCCAGCCTTCTATTTTAATTTCCAAACCCCTTTGTGAAGGCCCAACCATCATGATGGGATGGATTACTTGGCGTAATGGAAGCTGGGAAGTATTTTGCCAAGAAATCCTAGCTAAAAATCTCAGATCCAAAGATGGATAGTTGCGATGTCGTACAATGTGCCTGTCAGGGACAGCTCCAAAAGTGGCGAAGTCCCGGCATGAGGGACCCGATGGGACAGATGTCGGCTGTGCATAGCGGCGATCCCGTCATGGGGGAGTGTCCCCAACCACTTAGTCTGAAGTGGGAAGTTGAGAAGGCTGCTTCTTCTGTTCCCACCCCAGGCGCTATATACATGCAGCTAGGGTCATGTGGAGGAAGCCATGTCATCTCTGCACACAGCCGCACCTCCCTGGGTGTCTCTGCAGGAGATCCCAGAGGTGGCCACTCAGTAGGTGGGAGTGTGCACAGCACGTGCAGTGATCAGGGGGGGGCAGGGTTAGGTATGTAGTGGTACATGGAGAAAGGGAAATCGACCATAGAATAGAAATAGAGAGAAAGGGGGAAAATGGGGAAGGAGAGATGGGGAGTGATAGTGGGGGAAGCGGAGTAGTGCAGTACGGTGTGGGGTGTGGCACGGGGTCAGGCAGGTGTGCCCTGACAGTGCCCCACTGTCAGCCCCATTGCCTCCTCAGCCACAAGTGGTCCCTCATGTTGCCGAACTCCGTTGCCTGCATCATTCTCACAGGCTTCATCCTTCTCTTGGTGCTGAACCCTCCACTCCTATGAGGTCCATGAGGTCAGATAATGCATGCTCATATTCCCATCTCACTCACAGGATTATTAGCTTGGCAAGTGTCCTTGTGAATCAAGATGATGATCTTGTCAATTCAATGAATAGCATGACTCTAGCACTCACCTCGAGCATGACTGGGAGCTGAACCTGTGTCATATCCATACAATCCTGACCTCTGCTCCAGGCTCCCAGAACTCCGAAACTGACTCTGGAGCCCTACTTCCTTCCTGTCACCTTCTCCTTGCTGACTCCCAGGAGGTTATCCCACCTCTGGCTCCGACACCACCTTCAGTCCAACTCTGGAACATTCCGGGTCCAACCTCAACCTTGACACCTTCCAGATGAGCATGCAACATCTATGCTCCTGACTCCAGACCTCCACTCTGGAATCCCATTTGTGTCTCCATCTCCAGAACCTCCAGTCTTAGCTCCGACCTTGGACTTTGACCCCACCTCCACTTATACCCATTGTATTGGTTAGCTCATTCCATTTAATTACCTTTGCCAATATTCCGGAGTTTAACTTCCAAGTTCAGACTTTCCAGACTTACTTCGGACCTTGCAACTATTGCATTGCTCCATTCAATTCCATTATTCTCACTCATTCCTATTTGGGCTGCTGCTTCCTTTCTATTCAGTCAGCTGGCCATTCCCCACTCCCATCCTCCTTCCATCCTCCTTTGGGAAACACCATTGAGTCAAACCTTGACCCTCGGTGTTGTTCCTCCTTCCAGCTCCCTTTGTCTCCTTTTGGAGTACCCTTGCTCCTTTTGATTCCAGACCCCTCCTTATATACAATGTACTTAGTAACTTGTAACCTCAGTCTGAAATCGACTTGATTTCCCCCCAACAAGACTTTCCCTCTGCTAGATCTGAAATTAGGGACCCCCAGGACAACCAGCAATGGCACAGCACTCCACATGAGTCGCTGAGGCCAAGGTCCTTCCACACTAAGTCTCCAATTCCATTCTGGAGTCGTCCGAATCCGCTTGATCTAACAACCTGCTTGCATCAAGCAGTAGGTGTGCTCTATGTTTGTTCCCATCCAGCTGGTTCCGGACCTCAGAAAGTGGCATGTCATTTGCAGGTGTTTGGGGTTTCACAAGCTGTGGTATCTGTGCCCATCTCCCTTTTCTCTCATCCAGAGTTTATGCAGTACTTGCAAAAAGTGTAATGGCAGTTCATGAACCATCATGGAAGTCATGACATTTCATGACAAACCATCATGGAATTTCATGAGATGTCATGAACCTGCATGGGGGGTCATGATTGCTCATGACTTAAGTGGTTCTTCCAGGCAGGTTTTGAGTGGTTACATGCCTGTCTATGAAGTGTCATGAAGTGTCATGAGCCTTCATGGGGCTTCATAAAGGATCATGGACCCTCATGGACCTTAATCATTGTGATTGATCATAAATTAGGCTTCTTGATACAACAATGACAATTGGGGGCATAATGGTTAATTACATGTTACCCATAAGTTGAAAGTGATATGAAAGCATCACACAAGAAAGTCATGAATACCATCTGTCAGAGTGTGCATGTGCAGAGGTATGGGTGGAAGCAAGTGGTGTGTCTGGAAGCACTGTTCAGTGTTGGCAGAATGGGATTGTGGCCTCAGCAACTCAAGGGGAGTGCTGTGCCCTGAGCTTGACATCTGGGGTAGATCCCTTATTTGTGGAGCAGGGACTTACTTGTGGATGGAGCAGGCCTGTTGGAGATAGGGCAAAACTCAGTGGGGACAGACTTGGAGGGGGGGGCCCTTTTTGCAGAAGTTGAGACTCTGTCCAGACAGGAGGGGTTGCTCTAGTTGATTTCAGACTAAGGTCCCTGAAAGTATTTACAAGGTATAAATAAGGGAGAGAAATCATGG